GTCGATTGACTACGGTTGAAGCGTATGATGGTATCATCGATGACATCAAAGCAGATAAGGTATTCGGCTTTCTTGAATGTGATATTGAAACACCTGAGCATTTGAAAGGCTATTTCAGTGAGATGACATCGATTTTCAAGAACACTGAGATTGAGGTAAGTGAAGAGATCATTGGTAAGCATATGTTCGAATACGTTGAGAAACGTAAGAAGCAGCTTGACGAGGGACGTGCTAAGAAACGTGCAGGTATTATCGATGAAGATGCTTATATCACCTCTCAACCGGCTAAAGCAAGTCGTAAGCTAATTGGTAGTTACTTCGGTAAGCAGATACTCATTTATACGCCTCTATTGAAGTGGTATCTTGAACATGGTTTGGAGATCACCAAGACTTACAGCTTCATCAAAGTGAGCTCCCATAAGGCTTTCGCTCCATTTATGGAGGCTGTATCAAGCGCCCGGCGAGAGGGTGATGTTGATGAGTCTAAGGCTATGATTGCCGAGATGATGAAACTGGTAAGCAACAGTGCTTTTGGTCGATCTGGAATGGACATGAGCAAGCATAAAGAGGTAAAGTATGAGTCGAGCGACAAAGCTATTAAGAACAAGATCAAAAACTTTACATTCCATGGGTTGAAAGAGCTTAATGATGCGTGTGAAATCACCATGAAGAAACGCCGCCTTAATAACAAGAACCCAATCCATTTATCAATTGCTTTCTATCAGCTTGCTGAGCTACGTATGCTACAGTTTTACTATGACTGCATAAATTTCTACTTCGATCGCTCTGACTTCCAGTATCAGGAGATGGACACTGATTCAGCTTATATCGCTTTCAGCTGTGAGAAACCGTTTCAAGACTGTATCAAGTCTGAGCTACGAACCCACTTCAAGGAGCACAAATACGATTGGTCCCGCGCGACTACAACACTGAGGTAGCTGCGTTTGATCGCCGTACTCCTGGTTTGTTTAACGATGAATGGTCAGGTGATGCTATGGTCTCACTATCGAGTAAGAACTATATTTGCTATCTACTCGACAAGTCTCACAAGGTAAAAAATTCAGCAAAGGGTATTCAGCAGGGAGGTGGTTGAAACAATGGCGTTCTTAATCCCGATGGGTTTGAGACTGTTGTACGGAATCGCATCACGCTACAAGGTACAAACAAGGGGTTCAGACTATCGAAAAAAACCAAGTCTATCATTACCTATGCTCAGAACAAAACAGCGCTCAGCTACTACTATGACAAACGTCGAGTACTTGATGATGGTATCACGACTGAAGCACCTGATATTTAAGCAGGTAACCACTGGGGAATTTTTTATAATGTAAATATAGATCATGGACGCGCTTCTGAAATAACTCTAATATGATCCAGAAACCGGTTTTATTGGAGCTCAAGCGCTGTATGAGAAGGCAAAGGAGTTAAATCCTAAGATAACTTTCAAAAATGTAAAGGATTGGTATGCGAGTCAAACTTATATTTAACAATATCAAGAGCAAAAGAAGAGATTTAATGGCTTCAAAATAGCTTCGCATAACCCCAACTCTTGGCAAATTGATCTTGCGTTTTGGGAAAAGCGACCAATTCTGACTACTATCAATATCAACTAGAGGTTGGGCTTTGCAAAGGTCTTATCAAACAAGACAGCAGCAACTGAGTTAGCAGCGCTCAAAGCGTTTGTTCGATTTCATAAAGTGAACATCATTACAAGCGATAATAGTCGCGAGTTCTGAACTCGCAGGCTCAAGAGCCCTTTAAAACCAAGAAAATTGAGCACTACAACAACGAGCCCGGTGATCATGGTACTATGGGTGGAATCGAACGCTTCAACAGGATCTTAAAGCAGAGACTAACTAAAATGTCCCTCAAGAGAATTACGCAAAAGCTTATCACGGATGTTATCGAAAGCTACAATACCACGTTTCATCGTTCGATTGGTATGACCCCAAATGAGGCAAAAGGCAAAGTAATAGATGCAGACCTGAGTCATAATCAGGTGGAAGCCGAAAAAACTGAGAAGGAGTTTGACGTTGGATCAAGCGTATTACACCGTCTCAAAAAGCAAGCATTTGGTAAAGAAGCTGCTCGATGGAGCAAAGCAGTTTATAACATCGTTGGAATTGATGGCTACCGAGTCCAAATCCGTTCAGGAAATGGGCATACCCTCTTCAAGACGGCAAACGATCTTAAAATGGTTAAAACAGAGACTACAGATGCTACTATTAATCAAGGCGATATTCTTCTTAAAGTATGGCAAAGCTCAGAGGAAATACGATGAGGCGAAGCGAACAGTAAAGAATAATAACTCATAATTCGCAAGATCAGCGTTGAAGGCGGCAACCGCTGCCATGAAAGCGACCAAGGCTGTCTATCAAATCAAGGCTAAAAGCTACTCCGATGCTAAAAACTACACCGAGATTAATCAATTCAGTGATCGACAAGACGAGCGCACGGTTCGTCGAACTGTAAAAAACATGGTTGATCAGGTAAGAACGACAGGCGTGGGGTCAGGGGTCAAGAGGAATCTTCAGGGTCGTGGGTTAAGAGGTGCTGGCGTCGCCCCGCTTGAAGGAGCTGTCCGTCGCGGGAGAACATACAACCTCAATGACATTCAAGGCTTAGATACACCTTCAGCTTATGTATATCGTCAGCTCGGAAGCAAGTATATCCGAATCCTTGATCTTGATAGCAAAACCCTTGTGATTGTTCAACCTAATCGCCGCAAATGCGGACCCAAATGCCAAATCAGTGTTGGATGCGTACGCCAAGCAGCTACATCACCGATTTCTTGTCCAGGCTTGATTTCCGATTCGATCCAGTCATATAGCTTGACCTCACATTTATCGTAGAGCCGCTTCACACGATCAATTGGGCATGATTGAATATTCTTTTCAAGGCGTCGATCCGACGTCATCGCCATGGCTGTACAGGCAATGTATCCTCCGAATATACGCGCTACTGAATATGTGATCGGGCCAAGATCGGATTTTGTAGCTCCACTATCTGTTCTGAGGCGATACACTCTCGTTTTGCCTGCTCCAAATACAAAAATGTTGCTGCCAGGGACGTGCAGCGGAGCTGAAGGACTTATAGTACCAAGACCAAGACGACCTGTGGTAGTTAGAATCATCGACGTTGAGTTATTGACCCCAAATATGAGGTCGTTGTTTGTGATGTTCCCGATCCATGACGCGTTCGCTGTGGTTGATCGATTGCCATTATGAACTTGGATCTGGAATTGAACAGGAGTCGCATTCGACCCGGTTAGAGTCATCATTCGTGTCCTCAAGAAAGTCCAATCCACTACCAGTGATCGAGAAATACTCATTCGTTGGTGTAGAGTTGATGCCAAGCTCTGTCAGAGATCCTACTGTTGTTAAAGCTGATTGGTTTCCATATGCTAAAAACCCATTGATAACGCCGGAGCAGCTGATATCCCGACTCGTAGACAGATTATTGAGCGAGAGGGAAGTCGGAATAGATGTTAAAAAAGTTGATAGGTTATATTACGTCGAGCCCTGGCGCAAGTTCGTGCAGGTCAGAGTAGTAGCCGTCACCGAACTTTGGGACACACAATCACATAATTGGAATTTATTCGGCGTTA